GCACGTGTGCTCACTGGAGAGTGTCATAAAGGGAGAGAGAAAGAAAGTGAGAAAGCAAACCCCATAAGGAATGGTCACACTGCAATCCCTCCTCTTTATATCTCCTTCCTGTTGGGATTCTGAGCAGGCATACACACATGTCTGGAGTGGTTTTAAAATCACTGGGCCTGGGAATTGAAACACATTTGGCCATGTGGGATCCAGCTGCCTTAACCACCATACTACAGGCTGGTCCTAAAATTCTCACTTTCAAAAATGAATCTTTAGGGACCATAGTGTAATGGCTATGTCACTGGACTCCCACGTAGTCGACCACGGTTTGAGTCCCAGACCCGGTGGCTTAAACTCACGGCAGGCACGTGTGCGTGCGTGCCCAAGATCCCGAGAGGAGAATGGAGGAGAGGGGATTGTGGCGTGGCCATACCCCCTGCGGGGCGATTTCTCGCTTTCTGTCTCTCTGTCTTTGTCTGTCTGGCAAACGCATGTGCCCTATAGCAAAAACCTCTCCAAAAAAAAAAAAAAGAGAATATTTATAGCTGAATTTATAGAAATCAGATTTCTTTAAAAGCAAATAAACAGACAAAAGCTCTTAGATGAGAAGGTAAATATTCTCATGTCTGTGAACTCGGGCCCAAAACAGATATGTGAAGAAAATTGTATTTGCCTTTAAATGTAATTTACTGGTCCCCTTACCAACTCACAGTTACATTACTTACTCTCCCCCCATCACACTTCCATTGGGGTGGAGGGGCTCTGGAAAGAACGAAGAAAAAATTCTAAAAGAGCTATAACACCTACATTATTTACTTTTTTATTTTTCTTTTTGAGAGGGTTTTGTTATAGGGTGCGTGTGCTTGCCAGAAAGACAGAGAGAAACAGAAGGTGGGAAATCACCCCTTGGGGGGATGGCCATGCCCGAAATCCCTTCTCCTCCATTTTCCTCTCGAGATCTTGGGCATACACGCACATGCACCCAGCGTGAGTTCAAGCCACTGGGTCCGGGACTCAAACCACAGTCAGCTACATGGGAGTCCAGCGACATAGTCATCATGCCAACTGCTGGCCCCACATTATTTACTTTTTGAAGACTCCACAAAACTATTAAACAAATCCTACAAGTAGAGGAAAATAAAATCTATGCTGAAGTCCACACAAGCATGTCCCACGGAAAAAAAAAAGAAAGAAAGAAAGAAAGAAAGAAAGAAAGAAAGAAAGAAAGAAAGGAAAGGAAAGAAAAGAAATGACCATGGTCAGGACGAATATTTAACAAAAGAGAAATGCAAAGGTTATTGGCCCAAATGTTCCCCCTCAGTAGTCAAATCAATAGGATTTACATTCCTTACAAAGGGATGCTAAACTTGTTGATGGAATTTGCTTTTAAAATCTGTCTTTCTCTTGGCTGCAGTAAGAACTTGGGGTTTCTAAGAACCATACAGGCAGATGCAGTTTGAAGGACAAATCCAATTACCTCAGAGTTGTTTTCCTTTTAACAGTCCGTTCTGATCCATGCTCTGCAGGTCAAGAGCACAGTTCGAATTTCCCTGTGCCCCCTTTTGAATTATACTTCATGTCTGCCTCCTGCTTGTTGTAGGTCTCCTCATAACACGCCGAGCGGCAGAGATTCCGGTCTCCACACAATGGCCCACCATTCAACTAGCTTCTGCTTTGTCCCTAAACATTCACTCTCCCTGGCTCCCGCTGGGTCTGTTATATTCAGATATGAACTTTCCAGGAATCCAATCATGTCACAGGCCCTTTCCTGTATGACAAGTTCAATGCTAATTATGAATAGCTTGCTTCACACAGAGGGTTAGTATTATTCATGAAATGATGGCACCACGTCCAGAAATAGGGCAAAATCACCCTAAAATTAGCAGACCGTGTCTCTGTTAAATCTACCAGGCAATTCCCAAGATGTCTTGTTGTGCCAGCACAAGAGCTTTTTCCTCAACTGTGTTGATCAGTTGCACTGAAAGCACAAAGTTCTGCCAGACCCAAGGTTTAATGTTCAGCTTGATGGGGAGCTCTGGTGCCCAGAGGGCAAATGAAAGGGTTTTCTAAAATACCAAAGCCAGACACTGCTGCCCTCCACTTCCCAACTTAGATCCTCTTGAGTCCGCATTCCCAACTTCTGCAAGTCTTCCTATGAAGACCATCTCAAAAGCTAGCTTTAGCAACTTCGAGAGGGCTATCAAAGGGCCACAAAAGAATGGAAATAATATATTTAATTTTCCTTTTTTGGGACAGCGAGACAGATCTGGCAAATCTGAATGAGAGGCATACTAGATGGTTTGTACCACTCTGCTATAATTCTTTCTTCTGAGCCCTAGATTCAATGACCACATGAATCTGTTCCTACTGGCCCAAATTTTATTTCATAAAAGCAAGCTGAAGATTATCCTTCCAGATAAAAGTGCCCAGATTGAAATCCTCTCTTCACCATCCCTGAGAGAACGACATAGGCTGGTACTAAAATACTATCTTTGTGTAAAACAAATGGACCGAGGAAAATCTGCTTTCCTTCCCCCCTGTCCCTTTCTTCTTTATATAACTGGAGCCAAACGAGATGTTTTTCATTCTAAAAATTTGATTAAGCAGATGAGCAAAAGCCTATTCTTCTGGTCTTCACTGTTTTTTCAGTTTTGGGGTAAATGAAGGCATACTCTGGTTAGAAGGATAGTGAAGCTAGGCCTAACTGCCAGGCAGTGGTGACATTTGGAACTTTAAGTTTCAAAGGCAAGCCCTGGTCCAGAGGCTGCCCTCGACTCTAGAGGCATCAAAATTCAGACTGCTGTTCTAGGCATGCTGGGATGGGTCCTAGGTCCCTGCAAATCACCACATTACAGGGCATATTCACGTCTCCTGGCCTGAGGAGCAAGACAGGTAACAGGGCAAAGAGCAGGCTTAAACAATAAGGAAAAAATAAGCCAGGTACAATGGTCATGAATGAACAATCCTTTTTTTCAGCTATAGGAACTAAGAAACCATGCTTCTTTGGCATGTTTAAAAATATATTATGAATATTACATTATTAGACTCCTTGTATAGAAGCACCAGATTTAGTTTTAGTTTCAGCACTTTAAACTTTCTGAAAAATATTTTTACAATAGTTTCCACCTGTTTTGAGTATTTTTCTTTTCTGCAAAATATTTTTACAATAGTTTCCACCTGTTTTGAGTATTTTTCTTTTCTTTTATTTTTTCTTTCTTAAGCTTTTTGCTATAGGGCAAATGTACTCACCAGAGACAGAGACAGTGAGATGGACAGTGAGAAATCACCCCCTGAGGGGGATGGCCATGCTGCAATCCCTTCTCCTTCATTTTCCTCCTGGAATTTTAGGCATGCACACACATGTACCTGGTGTGATTTTCAAGCCGCCAGGTCCAGGCCTTGAACTGTTGTTGGCTATGTAGGAGTGTAGTGTCATAACCACCATGCCAGCTGCTGGTCCCTCAAATATCTTTCTAAGAGTCCCTCTACAAACACCCCCTGAGGTCCAGGGTTTTATTTGTCTTTGCACCTGCATGTATTGTAATAAACATTGGATAGAGGAATGACCAATTGAAATGGTATGTAAACAGACCTTTTAGTAAAAGGCTAAAGAAACTAGGTCATGAGTTATCATCATAAAAGACAATGGAAAGCTTCATGATAATGTGAATAAAAGAACTAACATCTCAGCTCTGTACGGTATTTCATGAAGTTTTTACTGGATATGTCATTTTCCAGGGATTCTGTTCAAATCCAAATAGTATCAAATAGTGTTAGAACTCAGTTTGGGTATAAAGAAGTTCATTTTAAAAAAATGCATTCTAAAAAAAATCATTCCAGGAGCAATCCTGTAGCATAGTAATAAAGTTCTATATATTGGAAGCCACTCCCACATACCCAACCATACTTAAAATCTCAGCATCAGTGGCTTGAAAACATGTCAGGAGGGCCAGCAGGTGGTATGGTGGTTGAGGCACTGGACTCCCACATGGCTGACTGCAGTTTGAATCCTGGACCTGGTGGGTTGCTTTCTTACTTTCCCTTTCTCTTCCTCTCTCTGTCTCTCTCTGATCAAAATAAAAATGATAATGATAATAAATAAAATTAAATAAACAATTCTTTTAAAAAAAAAAAGAAAGAAAGGAAAACATGTCAGATGCATGTGCATATGTGCCCAAAATCCTGATGGAATGGACAGATGGAGGAGAAAGGATTGCAGCAAAACCATGCCCTATTGGGGAATGCCTTCTCTCTTTCTCTCTTTTTCTCTGGCAAGCTCATGAGCCCTCTAGCAATAAATAAATAAATAAATAAATGGCCAGAAGGCGGCATGGTGGTTAAGGCACTAGACTCCCACATGACCAACTGTGATTTGAGTCCTGAACTTGGTGGCTTGCTTTCTCACTTTCTCTCTATCTGGTGAGCACATGTGCCCTATAGAAAATTAAATAATAATAATAAATAAGTTTTAAAGAATTATTTATTTTATTTATTATTAGTATTAATTCTTAACTTGGTATAGTTATCAAAGAAAGGGAGAGAGAAAGAAAGTAAGAAAGCAAGCCACCAGGTCCAGGAATCGAACTGAGGTCAGCCATGTGGGAGTCCACCATGTCACCTGCTGGCCCCAATAAAATAATTTTGAAAAATAATGAAATAAAAATTAATTCCCAAAATGTACAAGATACATTTCTTTCCCTCAATGTACTACTGAGTGTTGCCCTTTCGATCCATGAAAGAATCAGCATGAGGAAATTAACTAAAAGTAGGAATTCTCATTGGGTTTACTCATGAAGGGAATGTCCATGGATGAGGTACTGAGGAAATGGGCATTCCTATTGCCCAAAAGCCTCGACAAGAAAAGTGAAACACTCAGCCTGGAATGATTTGTTTCACATGTTGCATGAAATCACAAGCCTGAGCTACCTAACCTCTGGCAGTGGCCTTCCTCTCTGCACTCTTAGTGGTCAAAGTCCTATAAAGCATCCAATCAAGTACTAAAGTCTTACTCTGGCAGGCAGGAATATCACAGTACTTCCAGTAGACACCATCCTCGTGTTCTGCAACGTAGCACCAGGGACTCACATCTCCATCTGGGTTTCTGTTGGGCAAAAGGACACAATAGCTGACTTTTTTTTTTCCTTTTAAAGTTTATATATTTCTTCCATAAGGGAGAGAGACAGAGAGAAAAATAGTACCACCAACAGGGCTCTGATGCTGTGATGCACTCCCAGTCTTAGCCAGCCCCAGATGGTGGGCACATGCATGCCTGGAGTACTCAGGGAAAATTCTGGACTTGAACCAGGAGCCTACCTATGTAGAAATGCCTTGTAGACTGTTGCATTTTACTGCCGCACCACTGTTTGGCCCCCTGATGACATTTTTGATGTTTTAAGTCAATTGGCTCATTGTTTTTCAGTTTTACAGGACAGTAATTGCTTCAGCTTTTGTGTTACTCCTAATAATCAGTATGTTTTTAATAATTGGTATGCCATCTCTCATAAAGAAGAAAAAAATGGGACCAGGTGTGCCAGCTACATGGTACTGTGGTTAAGGCAGCTGGATCCCACACGGCCGACTGTGTGGTTTGAGTCCTGGACCAGGAGGCTTGAAAAACATGCTGGGCATGTGCACATGTATGCCCAAAATCCTGAGAGGAGAATGGAGGAGAAGGGATTGTGGTATGGCCAATTCTCCCCCTTCCTCGGGGGGGAGTGCTTTCTCACTCTCTCTCTCTCTCTCCAATAAGTGCACATGCACCCTGTAGCAAATTTAAGAAAAAGGGGGGGGGGGCAGGCAGGGACACAGCAGTAACACAACTGGACTCACATGGGAAGGTCAACAGTTTGCCCGTGATCCAGCTTGTTGAGACTAGGGGTGGATCATAGTGTGAAAACCTTGTTGGGAGTATCTGCCTGCCTGTCTCTTATCTGTCTGACTTTCTCTATCATGGGATAAACAAACAAACAAACAAACAACAGCCAAACAAGAAGTGGGCTAGCTTCCTGGCTCAGTGGTTTAAGGGAATCAGATCCCACACGATCAACTGCAGTTCAAATCCCAGCCCTAGTGGCTTGAAAAACACATTGAACACATGTATGTATGTGCCCCAAACCCTGATAGAATGGAGAGATGGAGGAGAAGGGATTACAGTGTGACCATGTCCCCTTGGGTAATGTCTGGTGAGTACACACTCTGAAAAACAAACGACGACAACAGCAAAACATAAAAAATGATGATACTATGAAAACAAATCTATCCATTTTGATGTATATTTCCAAGTTTGGGGAAAAGTGAACAAAAGTGATTCATTACAGTGTAACCAGGACAACAGATCACTGAACAAATCATGCCAAACAGCATTGGCTCCTAGCAGATGATCACAGAGATTCCCACAGCATAGGTGCTCTCAACACTGCTGATGAGAATGTGAACAGACACAGTCAGGATGGTAATCTGGTAATTGGAGTCAAAGGCCCTGGAATATACAAACCCTTGATTTGGCAATTTCTTCTTTAGGAGTTTAGTCTATGGAGATCTTTACTTATAAGGATATTCAACAAAGCATTTTTACTTACTATGTAAAAAATTGGGGACTGACCCTATAGCATGGAGGTTAAGTGCTGTGCAAGCCAGATCCTATATAGCTAATCAAGATTCAAGCCTAGTTCTGGCAGCTTGAGAAACACACCAAGAGAGTGCACATGTGCCCAGGATATTGACTGGGAAAATTGAAGGGAAAAAGACTGTGGCATGACCAGGCCCCATTGAGGGGTACTTTCTTTCTCTCCATACCAGTCTGTCTCTCTCTCATACACATGCATTCTTTAGCATTAAAAACAATTAAAAAAAAAAAGTCAGAAATAGTTAATATCCAGGCCAGGCAGGTGGTGTGGTAGTTTGAGCAACAGAATTCTACATGGCTGACTCCTTGTTTTTTCTTCTAGTTTTGGTGGTTTAAGAAACACACTGGGTGTGCATGAGCCCATGACTGTGTGTGTGTGTGTGTGTGTGTGTGTGTGTGTGAGTGTGTGCCCAAAATCCCAAGAGGAGAATGGAGGAGAATGGATTGGGCATGGTCATCCTCCACCTCCATGCTGACTCTTCCTATCTTTTTCTGCAGAAAGGATGTATGCCCTATAGCAGATTAAAAAAAAAAAAAAAAAAAGCAAACAACTATCAAGGATTGGTTAAATACGGTATATCTATATAAGAGAATGCTAGGTAATTTATGTGGTATAGAGGCCTATCTTGGTAATAGGAATCTTTTTTATGCCCAAAGAAAGTCACGATATCTTACTAGCTTTTTTTTTTTTTTTTTTTGGAAAGGAAGTTGTAAAACATGGATGACACAATCCCATGTTTTAGAAAGATATTTGGGGAAGGATATACATCAAACATCAAAGTATCTCTAAAATGATGAGATTAGGTGATTTCAATTTCTTTTCTCATTTTCTTTCTTTCTTTTCTTTTCTTTTCTTTTTTTTTTTTTTTTTAAGAGATTTTCTGCTATAGGGCACATGCACTCGACAGAGAGATAGGGAGAGAGAAAGTTAGAAACCACCCTAAGGTGGTGGGGTGGGGGGAGATGGCCACGACACGATTCCTTCTTCTCCATTCTCCTCTTCAGATTTTGGGCATGCATACATACATGCCCGGTGTGTTTCAAGCTGCCAGGTCCAGGACTTGAATCATGGTTGGCCATGTGGGAGCCAAGTGATGAAACCATCCCGCCATCTGCTGGTCCCAATTCCGTGATTTTTTAAGTGTTAAATTAAAATCCATGTAATACAAACTTCAGTGACAAGGTTTTACTAGGATCAGGTTGATTAACTCACATTTGATAGAAATGGGTCCTATTCCTTCCTCAAAATACTGACTCCTTAGAGAATTCTGAAGAAAACTGCCAAAGAGACTCAGAATTTGTGGTCTCATCTTCACAGTACCAACTTCTGATATTTTCCAAAAGATTTATTTTACATTCCTTAATGAGAATAGCTTAGAATAAATGCCTTTTTGGGTCTTTTCATCTCAGAGATGCCCTGACAATAAGGCGACACTACAGAGCAGATCAAAACACGGCAGGGGCTACTGGACACACAGAAAAAACTCCTCTCTCTTCACAGCTTTCCAAGCCCCTTTTATTTAGACTCAGAACGCTGGAAACCTGACACTCCGGTTAGGCCGGAAATGGGCATAAAGACCCAGCAGCCCAGAGCTTTGGAGCAACCCCTATCAGGCCTGAGTGGGATAAACCTATTGTGTGGCCTAGAAGATAAGCTTCCCAGAAACACAAAGGGTCCTTTTAGTTCTTGTGCCCAAAGACAGGTGCCAGCACAGGCTCTGCTTGTCCCCTGTCTCTGCCCTCCCCTCTAATCCAGGGAAATACATTCCCACTACTTGCCATCTCTCAGACATCTCAAATGTGATGTGTCTGAAAAAAATCACAAAAGACAAACATGGTGTCGGGTGTCAGCTGAGAAATAAAAGTAGGAGAACTTGTACAAAGCCTTTCTTTAAACAGTGTTTCGCTGTCATTTTCCTCCCTCTATTCAGTATTCAGCTTTGATGTAGTATTTGGTAAGGCCTTTCGAAAACAACTGTTTGTTATCAATGTCAAAACTATTCTGAAAAGCATCAGAATAGCCTCATAAGAACAAGCACATTCATTCCTGACTTCGCTACAGTGAGAAAACAAAAGACCGGGCCTTTCTGATGTGGTAATAATCAACAATTTCAGCCTTCCTTTTTTGAAGGATAAACTGGTAGTTTAGGTCTGGTACATTCTGTCAAATCAGAGAAGGCTGTGACCTGCCAGGGATACAGAGAAAGGTGGTCCTTCCTGGTCCCCACTGTTCCCCCAGTAGATATTTACTAGGAGCCCGTGGGTAGAAATGGGTGTGCTAATCTATTAAATTTTTTTCATATAAATTAAGCCTTATTGGCTTATCTTAAAGTCAAACTTAAAAACAAGAGCTCTTCTGAGAAGATTTGCTTAATAGAGAACAACAAAATAATAGGATAAATCAAAGCCTACCTCCAAGAGACATTTTAGAACAAGAAAAATAACAATGTAAGGACAATAAACACTCCTTTTAAACATTCTTCCCAACTCAACCTGCTCTTCCTAAGAATAGAAGAACTACGGAAAGATAATAAACCAGAAATGGAGTGGAACTCATTTCTTTCTTTATGCAGAAAAGATTAACATATATAACTTTGAAAATAAAATATAGAAGAATTATTAATGAGCTTTTATAACTTTAACAATAAGATACAAAAGAGCAAAATTGAAGTAACAAGTACAAAAATTGCTATATCTGGTAAGTGGTACTTGGGGATGGTTTCAGAGAAAGAGGTAAAATAAGAAACTATCTACACAATGTATTCTGTAGCATGTGAGAAAATTTTTGGAACACATTTTTAATACCTTTATAATAACAAGATGGTAACATTAGCATAGAGGTTAAAGAAAGGGCTTTACCAAGTCTAAAGAGAATATAGGTCAGCCCCATGGCCTAGTGGTTAAGGGAGCAGGATCAAAACAAAAGACCGGGCCTTTCTGATGTGGTAATAATCAACAATTTCAGCCTTCCTTTTTTGAAGGATAAACTGGTAGTTTAGGTCTGGTACATTCTGTCAAATCAGAGAAGGCTGTGACCTGCCAGGGATACAGAGAAAGGTGGTCCTTCCTGGTCCCCACTGTTCCCCCAGTAGATATTTACTAGGAGCCCGTGGGTAGAAATGGGTGTGCTAATCTATTAAATTTTTTTCATATAAATTAAGCCTTATTGGCTTATCTTAAAGTCAAACTTAAAAACAAGAGCTCTTCTGAGAAGATTTGCTTAATAGAGAACAACAAAATAATAGGATAAATCAAAGCCTACCTCCAAGAGACATTTTAGAACAAGAAAAATAACAATGTAAGGACAATAAACACTCCTTTTAAACATTCTTCCCAACTCAACCTGCTCTTCCTAAGAATAGAAGAACTACGGAAAGATAATAAACCAGAAATGGAGTGGAACTCATTTCTTTCTTTATGCAGAAAAGATTAACATATATAACTTTGAAAATAAAATATAGAAGAATTATTAATGAGCTTTTATAACTTTAACAATAAGATACAAAAGAGCAAAATTGAAGTAACAAGTACAAAAATTGCTATATCTGGTAAGTGGTACTTGGGGATGGTTTCAGAGAAAGAGGTAAAATAAGAAACTATCTACACAATGTATTCTGTAGCATGTGAGAAAATTTTTGGAACACATTTTTAATACCTTTATAATAACAAGATGGTAACATTAGCATAGAGGTTAAAGAAAGGGCTTTACCAAGTCTAAAGAGAATATAGGTCAGCCCCATGGCCTAGTGGTTAAGGGAGCAGGATCCCACATGGTCAACCACAGGGTTCAAATCCCAGCCCTGGAAGCTTATAAAACATGCTGAGTGTGTGTGTGTGTGTGTGTGTGTGTGTGTGTGTGTATACCCAAAATCCCAACAAGATGAAGAAATTGAGGGAAGGGATTACAGCATGACCATGCACCATTGGGGAGTGCTTTCTCCCTCTCTGTCTCTCTCTGGCAAGAGTATGTGCCCTCTAGCAATTAAAAAAGGAGAGAAAGAACGCAGAATATGGGCCTCAAGTGACTTCAAGATGACCATAAAGGCCCTTGAGTATTAGCAAAAGTATGTGAAAGGGCAGACAGTAAACAATGTGGCCCAGGGTATGCAGGAATATATATGTTGCTTCAGCTGGGTCAACAGTGCCATGGTTGAGATTCCAATGTACTGGTAGGGCCAGGGATACCATGCATAGCTCAGGGTGGAGTTGAGCAATCAGTTTTTCTCCATCTCAATGGCTCAAGGGGCTCCCTTTGCACCTGTCCTAATAATAATTACATTCGACACATTGCTGAATCCTGAGTCACAGTACCAGGATCTTGAGTATAAATAGCTAAAACTTTATAATCAAAAGTGCTTACAATCTCTACTCTGGTGCATAAATACCAGTGATTTAATTTTCTTCCTCGTCTTATTTTTTTTTTTTTTCCCTTGGAGAGATTTTCACTGTAGGGCGCGTGCGCTCGCCAGACAGACAGAGAGAGACATAGAGACAGAAAGCGAGAAATCACCCCCC